GGGGGGGGGGGGGGGGCAATAACGATTTAAGAGTGAACAACTAAATACATTAATAATCATTTAATATACTCAAAATATATCATTACATTACAAATATACTAAAATTTAGAACGTCTCTCTTACATATCACGAAAATCATCTATAATTGAATCTATAATAAATTGTTTTGCAATTTGCTTTTCAATGTACACTAACAAACAATCATTGAGAAATTGATCATCCATCTTGTTACGAAGTGTAGTCTTGACTATTTTCATGGCAGAAAAAGATCGTTCTGTAGTAGCTGTAGATACGGGAAGCGTGGAGAATGAGAGTTACTATTCTGAACACAAGAGGATATATGTCCAATTTTCTAGTTTTCACCATCCATTGACAGAGATCAGAAATACTTTCTAGTTCTCTAAAATCAGGAAGTTGTTGCACATGTTCAAAATGTTCAAGTTGCATTCTTAATTGCAAAATCTCATAATATGCAAAGTCTTGTGGGTAAAATTTCTCTACCAACTTGCAAATGTCATCAATTCTGAATGATATACGCATTTCTTTTGGATCTAGGGATGAACTCAGAACAATTAACTCCATTGTTTTATCATCAAACCTATTGTTCAACTCTTGCAACTGAGAATCAATCACCGCATTAAAAATATCAACTTTGTAATGATGTCCAACTGTTAATTCATCTTGTTGATTCCTAGCCCTTCCTCTTCTTGCAATATATTGAGCATCAAAATCTGGCACACTTATATTGACATTTTCACAAAAAGACTTCACACTTGAAACTAATTCATCCCATCCACTATCTCTTAATTTTTGAATAAGCAATTTAGTAAATGTCACAAGATGCATTGCATTCAATATATCTTGAGATTGGAGTTGCAAAGCTTGGCAAAGCATATTAGAAATCTCTAGAACTTTTCTCATGAGGTGCATAATGAATACAAATTCAAAAGAAGTCATTACCTCATAAGCTACATCGGCATCTCCACGGTGAGTAGGTGTAGTTCCATCTTCAATAATATTAAGTAAAACTTCACATGTTGCACTAAACATTCTCATCAAACTTGATATGGATTTCAAATGAGAGCTCCAACGAGTATCACCGGGCCTTTGTAAAGAAGAACCAATTTGGTTAAGACCCATTCCACTTTCAAGCTCATCGATACTAAGCAAATGAGCAATATTTGAGGCATGAGCAGCTTTCAACTTGTCATTGCGCTTACATGAAGCCCCAACAACATTAATAATGGAGTTCAACTTAGTGAAAAAGTGATGGACAGGGATGACTTCTTTTGATGAAGCTACTAATGGCAATTGCAGTCGATGTGCAAAACAATGAACATAATAAGCATAAGGACATTTATCCAAGATTAAAGCTTTCAATCCATTCCACTCTCCACGCATGTTGCTTGCACCATCATAACCTTGTCCTCGAATATTTTGAACATCAAGATTATGACGAGATAAGATAGAAAAGATACCTTCTTTCAATGTTGATGCAATAGTGTCTCTAACATGAACAACTCCAATGAATCGCTCTTGTATAAAGCCATCTCTATCAACAACTCTCAAGACAATTGAAATTTGTTCCTTCTTTGATTCATCTCGAGCTTCATCAACAATGATACAAAATTTTGCATCACCAATTTCTTCTCGGATAGCACTTTTTACTTTAGTTGCCAACACTTACAAAATTTGTTTTTGTATTGTTGATGATGTATATGTTGCATTTCGTGGAGCTTTATCAAGAACTTTTGTTACTTCATCATTAAAAGAATCAATGAAACTCAATAACTCTAAAAAGTTTCCACGATTTGTTGATGTTATTGACTCATCATCACCTCTAAAAGAACATCCATGAAATGCAAGTCATCTCGTTGCCTCAATTGAAGTTCTCAAACGAAGTCTATTTTCAACTACCTCTTGAGATGTGAATTTCTCAATATGTTGTGCAATGTGTGATTGTTGGTTCATGAGATCTGCGCAAGCTTTCTCGGCATTTCGATGAGGGGAGGTGAGATCTTTTCCAATATGTGCTAAAAATGAGCAATTTTTTCCATCTCTAACTTTCTTCCATGAGCGAAAACCATTGGTAGTAAAAGCATGCAATTCGGAAGGCCTATCTTGAGTATGAAATAAATAACATGGTAGACAAAATGCTGCATCTTTACTAGGAGAATATTCTAACCAAGAAGGGAATAATTTAAACCAAGATGCTTGAAAACTACGAGGACGCTTTTCTCCAGATTTTGGATACTTTGAAAGCAAACATTGATATGGGTCGGCCTTGATATAGGCTCTCCTAACTTCATCACGTTTGTCAACGGGGCACATCCATATTGGTAGTCGCAATCCCGGATCATGTTCTAATGCTTGAATGTCAAACTTCTCATTTATTTCAATTCTTTGAGATTTTCCAGGACGACTTTCAGAATTCAATTGATCAACACTTGTAGATGGATTTACTTGAGATGATGAATCTTCAGAATTCTTTCTTTTAAAAAAAGTATCAATTTTTTGTGTCTTCTTCATTGTAGCTCAATCTTCCTATGTTCACAATTAATCACAATATTAATATTTTGGTAAGTCAATTAAATATTTAAACTAACCAAGTCAATTAAACATTTAAACATATAAGTAATGACATAAAACAAATGAGGACAAAGCACTTTAACACTTGTAGGATACAAATATACAATATTTCAATTCATTTTTGTTTTAAATTCATTAGTATAGTATTACTCATTCAATTCATTTATTTAAATTATGTCTTCCACAACATCAGTTTCTATTTCTTTCTTCTCACTTCTGTTTTACATTTCGGTATTGCCAACCAAATTAAATTCATTTTTGTTGTTTGAAATTATTCTATTGTATAAGTATATAGATTACGGCATTGAGATATTTAATCTCAATTCTCTATGTGTTTCTCCTACTCTACTAGTTTGATGTTAATTAGCCATTAATGGAAGAAAACTAAAAGCATAAACTTAAAGAAAAGAAACTTTGAACATTGGAGTTAATAATAAATGTACTCTTCCACAAAATATATAATAATACAAATTTACAAAGTAATTATTTAAAGCTTTAAAACAAATGAAAAAAAAATTACCATATTCATTGTTGAAGAGAAGAAGAATAGTAGATTGAAGAAGTCAAGAAGATGAAACCGGAGTCGGCTCAAGTAGTTGTCGTGAGTTGAATGCCGGCTGACCATCGTTTTCTTCTTGCCATCCGCCAATTGCGCATTCCCACAGCAGAACACGTGTTTGTCGACCATAGGCACTCCACGGCCAAGCACTTACGATCTCTCCAAGTGCTACACCCTGATGGCCGGCTGCTGATGATGGTCGCGTGGAGTCGGTCGCCAAAATTCCTACGCCCAAGGGTACTGAAGTGATTCTGGAAATTTTATTGTCACAAGCATCCAGGCACCAGTAGCTTTCAAAAATTTGCTCCACCATTCTAAAGGAACCTTTTTCTTCTCTTCAAAAAATGCCACATAATACCAATATTTCCTTGCGTAGATATGCCTTGAGATTGCAAATCTCTAATTCCCCTTATTTTTCTTAAATTTTCCTTTTTCGCTATGTTTTTTTTTTTAATCTTCGTGCTCTTCCACCACATGTGTCTTCTTAATAACACATGCACTCTTCTTGCATACTTAATTGCTACGTTTAGTAGATGTATATGTCGTGTCTGTTCTGTCTCCCTGCGTATTGACTGTCAGCTTGGAACCGATTTGTATCAAGTGTCACGCTTGATTTTTCTTGGTTGGAACATACAACTTTGGATGCTGATATCAGTTTAAGAAATTTCATTTCTTGGAACTGGAGACATCCAGTTAGGATATATATTGGGAGTCCCTTCTCAAGCCTCTTTTAACGACATATTGCTTGTCTAGCTCAATATAAACAAAGCCTTTCGCACAATCAAGAGTAAAGCGGAGAAAGCAACTGTGACCACGGTGTCTACTGTTAAGGTCGTGGTGGGGGAACAATTTATTCGGCGTCCCGACATCTTGATTCCCCCAGCCGAGTCCCTCAGTGTGATGGACCGACCACTCTTTGCTAATAACTACCGAGTACTTTAATTTAAATATTACGTCTAATTTAAGGGTTACCTCTTGTAGACCTCAACGCACAGCTTCTTTACTTGAGTCTCCTCTAATTCTCTTCTTGGTCCACGGTTCTTCGTGAACCTTCTCAATCTTCCGTCCATAGTTCTCGGACGCTCTTCGAAATTGCTCAGATAAAGAGGCAAACGCAACCTTTTTGTCACGATCCCCACAGACGGCGCCAGTGATGATTTTAGGGTCTTTGGGCCCAAGGAGGTCCAACACAACCTTTAGCTGGAGGATGCACCTTTTAGTAAAGCTTCACTATTTTATTGTGTATCGTACATGTTGTATGGCTATTCTCTATACAAAGTGTTGTGTTTCTAATAATATAGCAAGAATAATAGAAGGAAGAGTGATGGAATGGTGTGGAAGAGTCCTTCCATGTGTATAGATGAGTGGTCTTCTTGGGAGAGTCCTCCCATGTGTGAATAACGTGATGGAGTCTTCTTTGTATGTTGTGGAATGAAACCTTCTTGTTGAGAGGAGGAATGGTGGAGTCTTCTCTTAGAAGAGTGATAGTCTTCTCTCATGCATGGTGGAAGAGTGGGTGGTCCTCTTGGAGATTAAAGAATAGTAGGAGGTATTCTAGTGTGTAGGAGAGATAGAGTCTTCCTTGTGCATTGTGGGTGGAAGAGTCCTTGTAGTATGTATGAATGGTTGCCCCCTTCTCCTTGTGTTCTCTTTGTCTTTTATAGCAATAAGAAGTAGTCGTTTGGGTGACTAACCATTAGGGAAATAATGGGTATTAAATATGCTATTAATGGGTTGGTTATGAATATTAAGTTGGGGGTTAGGATGAGGTAATTTGAATAGGCAATGAATTGGTAGTAATGGGGAATAATGGGTTGAGAGGTTATAATATGACGTTTAATGGATAATAAGTTGGTTAATAATAGGGTAGTAAATGGGCTAACGGCTAGTTTAGGCCGACCTCCTACCCGTGCCGACTTCCGGGTCGACCCCCGGGTTGAGCCGACTCCTCGTTTTGGCTCGTATCTCTTTTGGGCTTGCTCCATTTTCTTCTTGGGCTTCTCTTCTTCGTCTGGGCTTTATCTATTTTCTTCTTGAGCCCGAGCCCAAGGGGTTCTCACCCCATCAATAATAATAATAATAATAATAATAACAATAATAATAATAATAACAATAACAATAACAATAACAATAACAATAACAATAACAATAACAATAATAATAATAATAATAATAATAATAATAATAATAATAATAATAATAATAATAATAATAATTATTATTATTATTATTATTATTATTATTATTATTATTATTATTGAGAACAATATTGATGGGAGGAATGGTAGGGGTGATCGTGGTTCCGGTTCCGTAAATGGACAAATCGAAACGGAGTCCGGTCCGATTTTGGTTTATGAACCGACGTTCTAGTTAGAACCGCCGGTTCTAACCGGATTTTATATTTAAAAAAAAAAAAAAAAAAAAAAAAAAAAAAAAAAAAAAAAAAAGAAGCTAAAGAGGCAAAGAACAAAGTTTGGTCTTTGCCTCTTTGCGCCACTGCCCAATGCAGCAATGAGGCAGTATGCTGCACGCCTACGGCCTGCAGCCATCAATTTAATTTAATTTCTTTTTTTACGGTTTGGAACCGGAACTGACGGTTTCGGTTCCTTTATTTCACAAACCTTAGGTTCCGGTTAGGAACCGGAACCATACGAACGATTCCAGTTCGGTTCCGGTTACGGTTCGAACCTCTGGTTCACACCGAACCGTGGTCACCCCTAATTTTTTAGTGTATTGAAAATTCATTATTTGATATGATATCTAAAAATGAATTTTAATACATTAATAATGAACTAAGGGTAAAATTTTCAAATTAGTGTTTTTCTTCTCCATTTAATGTGGAATTGTAATTCATAAGGGGGATGTAGCCATGTAGGAATTGTAATTCAACAAAATGAGGGAACCAAACGTAAATTGTGCAAGCCAAAAAAATTACAACTACATCCAACCAAATAATCTGTGAATGTTTGATCCCTATAGTTTTTCCTCTCCACATGCAATAAGATGATATGAAAGATGGTAATTGGTGAGACATATAACTGCGTTGCTATTTTCACTTCAAAATTATCAATCACCTACCTACAACTACTAGTACTAGGCTTGTAACTCAACTACACTTTGAAAAAAGACTAATATACAACAATGTGAACTAGCTTCTAATCATTTTTTTAAGGGAAAAATTGAATGACAAATGTAAACTATGCAAACCCAATCACAAGAGAAAGCAGCCACTAACAAGCAAATATTTACACAAATGCTCAACTACATACACTTTAAACAAGCCCACTACTATCCTTTCACTATAGCCAACTTACAATATAAGGTTGAAGACTTGAACAGCTGTCAAAATGATCACATTTCCAATCTTCTGAAACATGTCCTCAGAGCCACTTTGATGCTTGCTAATACTCAAAAAAGGTTTACAATTCCAATCTGGATGGGATATAAAGCAGCAGATCTAGAAAAACTTCCTTCGTAGGTTCCTGGTGGTTGCTTGATAAGATTGCATAACAAGTCCTACACCAATACCAATGCCAACCCTCAAGCCAGCATTAAACCAGGACAATTGCCCAAGGTACATTCCGTCATAATATGACCCATGTACAGCTTTCTCATCTAAAATGGCATTTATCATAAAAACCTCTCACTGTGCCTACCGAGATAAGCATAAAAGAAAGGAAAGGGCAAAGTTATTTCTTGGTAGGTTCGTCAACTAATTGAATGTAAAAAGGTGGTTATAACCCCTCAGATTCAGAAGGTTTTAGACTTCCTTTTAAGGAAAGTCATCCTTATTTGTTGCTTTACTAAGCTGTGCCTATGTCTGGTTTACATAGGATAGGGATGAGAATGCCTCATCAACTCATAAGCAAGGAGGAAAGGACTTGTGCCCCCCTCCAGTTTTATTCTTTTATCTTTGTGATTAATAAACAAAATATTAAAAATGCTTATGTATCCAGTACTTCATCATTAAAATATGAGATTGTGAGAGAAACATAAATACTGTAAGAAACCAGCATACTAGTATCCTGTAAGATATTACCCCAAAGGATTGATAATAATTATTTCTCTAGTATTATTAGACTGCCAAGCATTTGCATACTGTAAGTGTAAATACGTTGCACCTTTAAACCTCTTAATATTGGCTTAGATTAGTTGTCAAAGTAGTTCTGGATTAGTTGATGGATTAGTCATAACGTCTGGAGTAGCTGACTGGATCAGCGCAAGAAAGTAATCTAGGAGGTATGAAGCTTATTCAAATTATTTATTCAAGACCCTATCAAAGGGGAGATCTAGATCTACTGGAGCAGCCGAAATCAAGGATGGGAAGAGTGCTTGTTTTGAGGATCAAAAGATCCTTTTCTACCTATATAAAATGCTACTTTGATTTACCATTCACTTACACACTCTTTCATTTTGTTTTACTCGAAAAGTCTTGGTTCATCTATACAAAATTTATACTGTACTATTGAGTGTGAAGAATGGCTTGTAATCAGATCATGAAGCAATGAAGATCGCCTGCACATCGGATCCACTGGAGTAGGTTCTGGAGTAGTTATAGGTTATACTGTAGTGTGTAATTAACTCTCCTCTTGTACTCCGTTTTTATCATAGTGGATTTGGGTTGATGTGAGTGGCCCCGCAGACATAGGAGTGAGGCTCCGAACTGCGTGAACATATCCTGGTGCATGCTTTCTTTTACTGCTATTTATTTTATGTTCGTTATTATATCTGGAGTATGTTTGCATCTAGTCCAGATTTATAATTGAAATAAAATTAAAGTGCATAAAGATAAATCTTGCATTCAAGACTCACGTGCTTTTTCAATTGGTATCAGAGCTCGGGGACTTAAATTATTAGTCTAACCGATCTGGCGATCACGTGTTTTTTGAACTCAAGATCTCAGTGTCTGTCTGTTTTTCTGTTTATCTAGTTTACTTTTTGCTCATTGTGCATTGAGTCTTACAGAATGGAACGACATAGAGCACCTCCTGAACTAACAGGTGACAACTATGCGTACTGGAAGGCCCGCACCAAAATGCATCTACGAGCTCAAGCAGAGAGGGTCTGGAGGGCTGTTCTTACTGGTTGGTCTCATCCTACCAAAGATGGAGACAATACAGGAGATCCTCCAGTCCTCAAACCAGAGGCAGAATGGACAGAGACTGAGATGACTACCGCAAGCTACAATCATAAAGCGTTAGATACTATTTTTTCTTTAATGCATGAGAGTCAATTTACCATTGTTGCAGGGTGAGATTCAGCAAAAGAAGCTTGGGATGCCTTCGAAACAACCTATGAAGGAACCGCATCGGT